GTAAGCTCTGAGCATGCTCTAGGCAGTATAGTGCCGAAATCAAGCTGTATATCATTTTTGTCTAACAGACTGCCCGTTTTCTGTTTTACATAGGAGAGTTGGTAGTGTGGCTAAAGGAATAAGTTACCAAGTAGAGGAGGCGTCTCCTATCACATTTAGGAGGAACTACTTCCAACTTCTAAGCTAAGAGCATAATGGCGTCAATGTAGCTCAACTTCCATCTCTGTTTCCTTCCAGGTTGCTAGCTTCTTCCCTTCGATTTTGAATCTTTGAATCTGTGACCCTGCCCATTCCCGAAGACCCTCCAGCATCATCCTCCTCCACCGCTGGAGAGGAGTGAGAAGAAGCAGAGAAGAAGAAGAAGAAGAAGCGGGGAAGAGGAATTTTTTTGCTTTCTTTTTTTTTTTCCTTCTTTTTTTTTTGTTTCTTTCTTTATTTCGTATCTCCTCTGTAACTCCTCGAATTATGCATCAAATTCGATAAATTATGAATGCATCAGACTCTTAGTTTGGATAAATTCGATAAATTATGCATCAAATTCGATAAATTCGACCAAGAGAATTAATTGAAAAAATGAAAACTATAGTTTGGATAAAATGTTGGAATTGAACCGGAAACAAAGTCGGTTCAATTTGCTGTACCGGTTCATCTTTCCGAGTAAGCAAAAACATTGAACCAATGAAGTTGTAGGAGCAGTCAAAGCTCTTGGATCCGAGTCGCGATCGAGGTCGCCGTCTCACCGCCGACGCTACTCTCGCTCGCCTCTAGCTCATCGTAGCAGCCGTCGTACCAGGCGCGACCGCAGCCGCGAAGCCTATTCATCAAGGTCTGCTCCTTCCTTTTAACAAAGTTTTGAATAGTTAGAGAAGCGAATCTCGATTCTTATGATCATGTGGGGAGTTAGGCTTAGGGCTTTTTCATAGCAATTTTGTGTGCATTAGGTTGCTAAGATTGTTGTTGTCATGGCTAACATTCCATTCACCTTATGCTGTTTCTTGGGTGAGGATATAAGTAATACGTTCCTGTCCTTTATAGATTCAGTTTTTTTTTTTTCAAGCAATTGGTACATGCGATGTCTTGTAATGATCCATCCTTTTTCAGATGATCTTTTGTTTTTTGTGTGTGTGTTTGTTTACATACATTTTGTATAGTGTTTCATGCTTTATGAGTTCAGCTGCTGATATGCATTCACCTCTGTTGTCCAAAGATAAAAAGCCGTTTCGTGAAGCATCTTGAAATTAGAGAGTAGTGTCTCTGGTCTTGAAATCAAACATAGATGTGACATGGATTCTGTTAGATAGTCATCTTCAGACATGATGAAATGCATGCATCTTCAGGGCCGTGTTCTCCATTTCTCTGTATATATGTCTCTCTCAAATAAATTACCTTAACCGTATTGTGCTAAACTATGCAGTTTATGATGAATGGTCTACGCATGCAAAGGTGCATCTTCCATCATAATCACTCGGCTTCTCTAAGAAATCTGTTGACCCAGTTTACCAAATTTGCTCTTTTTCAAGTTTCCAATTTTGGAATGTGAGATATTGATTGAGACCTGATTATTTGGGAATGTAGTAGTAATGGAATCTAATAAAGATGATCAATTTGTCTTCTAATCGGAACTTTGTTGGCCAAAAATATTACCAGTTTTCTCGGAACTCCCCAGCCATGTCTGTTCGAGCATCACAACCACCTGTCCCGCCTACCAAACTCTCTCAAAAGAATCAAACTACCATTCCATTACCAGTTGGAACTCCTAAGAATCAACAGACTGAAAAGAGGTGAAGAACAATCCTGAGATCATCTTCATGTCGTAACTAGTTGAGTTTTTGTGCATGACTGACCGGAACCTGTTTGTCATTGCAGGGTTTTACCTGATATTGGGCAGATTAATGCAAAAGATTCTAAGGATCAGCATGAAGCATCCGCACTTCGTGATGAAGTATGTTTTTTTTTTTTCCTTCTGTTATCTGTCGAGATTTTTTGGTGAATGTCGTAGATGGAAACTGAGACTTTATTTACATCACAGCTCGATATGCTCTAAGAGGAGAACGAGAGTATTCTTGAAAAGGTAAAAAAGTCTTCTCTTGCTTGGTTTCCATCTATCTATAGAGTAGTTTTATTTTACGTTTGAGTCTATTAACTGCTTAGGCTTGAGGATGAGAAATGCAAGGAAGCAGAAGCCAGGGTTTTACGTTTGAGTCTACGAACAATGACACACAGAATGATATTGACCCAAAAAGAGATGGTCCGTTTTCATATTTTTCCACAGGCTAATATAATCATTGTCCGGTTTAAGTAACAGACCCTTTTATGTTTTTCAGGAGGAAGTTGTGCTTAAGCGGTACTGGTTAGCTCGATATTGGGGCTTAGCTGCCAGATACGGTAAGTGCTATATGGGTATATAACAAACATATCTTACTAACATACCTAGAATTTTGGTTCCATCAATTATCTTTGCTTGCTGACATTTGTGCGTATTTGCATTTCAGGCATATGTTCGGACATCGCTACATCCAAGTACGAATACTGGTCATCTCTGGCACCTCTTCCTTTTGAAATTGTGCTATCTGCTGGGCAGAAGGCTAAGGAAGAAAGTTGGGAAAAAGGCAAGCAATCACTCAGTCATGTTACTGTCTCTTCTAAGATTCTGTTGTACTCTCACTCTATAATTTTGATTGTCACTTCTCATCACCATAAACATATCTCTTGGCTAGGAAACCAGATTCTGAGGAGAACGAGAAGAGGAGCCAGCTCGTTCAAGATATAAATAATCTAACAGGAGAGGGAAATATTGAAAGTATGCTCTCTGTGGAAATGGGTCTAAAGGAGCTAACTTCATTAAAGGTTTATTCTCATCCTCTCTCATTTTGGTTCATGCACCCCTCTTTCATAGTTCTCATCGACTATGCTCGTTCTTTGGAAGGTTGAAGTTTCCATAACTATTACACTAGCCTAGCTAAGGTTGGCCAATACTGTTCGACTATCTGATCCCGGTAAGCTTCTATAGAAGCTTTTCTTGACTAGAAATGCAACTTTTTGCCAGCCATCATTTCGCCATTAAGATTGTTAAAATAATAATACTTGTTATTTTATGTCGCATCTTACATGTCTATGCTTCTTTGATATGCAATTGATGTATTTTCTGGTCATCTCCTTTCAGAGTTAAAATCACCAGGTGGTCCTAAGTTAGTGGAGGCACTTGGTAAGTATATTTAGCTTATATCACTTAATTTCTTAATTCAGCGCAACATCTTGGGTGTTATGAAATTCATCTATTTGTAAAATGCATAATCAACAACGTTACAATGACTAACTCTTGATAAAATTAGGACTATGTTGACATTTCATATGTACTACTTCAACAAAGAGTGCCGACAGTTCTTGTTATCCTCGAGGATAATTCTGACCTCGGTTTGTCTTTTCTTCGCAGAACTGAGTCCAGAAGACTCGGAAGATGTTCACTTCAAGGAGGTACAAAACCACAATCCCTTTCTCGCTTTCTCTCATGGGATTTTCTTTGTTCTGCTCCCTGCTATATGTTCCCATTTATATAGTTTTCTGTTCTTCTATGTAACTTTTGGATCTATTGGAGTTGTTTTCGTCTGCTCAATCTTGGTCTTTCTCCAATCTCAATGCTATGAATCCTTTGGAAATTTTGGCAGGCTTGGCTCACGTACTTTTGGAGAAGAGCGCTGTCCCTTGGCATAGATGTGGACATTGCAAGAGAACGTCTTCGATTCTGGATCAGCAGGAGTGCACACTCTCCATCTTCACATGACGCCATGGAAGGTACAATCTAACGTACCAAATTAATTTTAGGCAAAAGAGGATACAGATAAGACAATTACTAATTTGGTTAGTTCTAATTTTCAGTTGAGCAAGGGCTAACAGAGTTAAGAAAGCGGCGCATAGAACGTAGATTGTGGGAAGCCTCTAGGTCCATTCACCTTATGCTGTTTCTTGGGTGAGGATATAAGTAATACGTTCCTGTCCTTTATAGATTCAGTTTTTTTTCTTTCCAAGCAATTGGTACATGCGATGTCTTGTAATGATCCATCCTTTTTCAGATGATCTTTTGTTTTTTTTTTTTTGTGTGTATGTGTTTGGTTACATACATTTTGTATAGTTTTTCATGCTTTATGAGTTCAGCTGCTGATATGCATTCACCTCTGTTAAATGTCTTGTCCAAAGATAAAAGCCGTTTTGTGAAGCATCTTGAAATTAGAGAGTAGTGTCTCTGGTCTTGAAATCAAACATAGATCATGAAATGGATGTGACATGGATTCTGTTAGATAGTCATCTTCAGACGTGATGAAATCAAACTCTGATGCATGCATCTTCAGGGCCGCGTTCTCCAATTCTCTGTATATATGTCCCTCTCAAATGAATTACCTTAACCGTATTATTTACATCATCTATTGGGCTTATATGATGCAGAAAAGATTGAACCGAATATATATTAATCTTAAAGAGAAATGATATAGGAAGGAACAAATAACCTCATCGCTCTGATCCGGGAAGAGTAGAGGACCACCCTGTGGAGGCTTTAAGACCAACTCCACTAGCTCAGTAACATGCGTATCACAATCTGTAGCTTGCACGATGCTTGTGCTCATGTTGTCTTTAACTTGATGCACAAGGATCGCTCTCTGAGTGATTTAGCAAACAATTTTAGTTGAAGTGGGATACCGTTGTCTTTTTTAAAAAGGGACGACTGAAGACAACTACTGGAGAACGAAAGAGCTCTCTTTTTCCGCTTCAAGCATATTTCTTTTGATCTAACATGATGTTCTTCTATTGTTTTGGGGTCTAATGTCTTCATGGGAAACATTGGGGATTCACGGTCCATCCTTGGATCAAAAGACAGCAATGATACTATGGTGGCAACTCAACTAACAGTTGATCTGAAGCCGGATTTACCGAGTATGCTTTACACTTTTTCACATTCTTTTTTTATTCTCCCTGGCGTATATGTCTTTGTCTAAGTAGGATGTTAATGTTTTTTTCGGTATGATAGGGGAAGCTGAGAGGATCAAACGGTGTAAAGGGCGAGTCTTCGCACTGGAAGACGAGCCAGAGGTGTCACGAGTATGGCTATGGCGTTTGGTGATTTCTGTCTAAAAGAGTATGGAGTCATTTCGATACCTGAGTTCACTCACCGTGTTCTTACAGACAAAGATCAATTCATTGTCTAATAACTTAACTTATTGTCTTGACTTTGAATTGTTGTCATATTAAGCTACTTTATGAAGAGGCAAATTTGTCTGGTCGGAGGCATGTTTTTTTTTGGCTGATTTATTTATTGCTAATGGTAGATACTCAACGGTGACAAACCAGGTGAAAATTATGAATCTTTCCATTAGTTCTTTAACATCTATGATTCATTGGGGTCTATATTAATGAAAAGTTGGAGTTTTGCGGTTGCTGATGCCGAAGTTTTAAAATTTAAATATTTCCACATGCTACTACACGCAATGGGGTTAAGTTTAAACTAGAGATCTTTGAGATGGGTGTTACAGCATGCGAGGAAGACGTTTGTAGTGAGGATGCTGTAAAGATGGCTTGAGAATTTGCATTGAAAGAATGACTCATGGTGAGTGTTAAGGAGATTAATGAGATTATCGGGGTTTACTAGGGAAACATAGCTTCTAGGTTGGGATCTCCAAGAGCTAAATTGCTTTTTGGGTTTTCAAATGATCAAGTGACAATGCCGTTGAGGAGAGTAATTGCAGGTCGCGATTCGGCTTGATGGAGCATAACATTATGTTCTTTCGACGTAGCATAAATAGAATCTTCAAGCAGAAGTTAGTTAATGAAGCAGATATTACCTTTTTTGTTTATATTTTTAAGAATTTAACAAACAAAATTTATTTTGACACATGTCAACATCGTAAAGCACCAAACTGCCACTTGTCAACATCTTATGAGTTACTAACTTTCAAAGTTGATACTTTATATAATAAGATACCTACACATTATATATACTCAGATATAAAATATATAATTATGAAAAAGTTTATATTAAGACCCGGGTGTAGAAGGGAGAATATTTTTTTTGACAAATAAAAGGAACGAGCCAAAAAAAAATAAAAATAAAAGGAAAAATAAAAGAACTTGGTGACCACGCGTATTTTTAGATTTAAATCGGCTCTATTGATTACGCCGGAGTCTAGATCAAAGGTTACGGTATCGGTGAGTTTCAATTTCATTGGCAACACAGAAGCGAATCAAGAAGCTTCCGCGAACCAATAGAGAGAAAAGGTCGGTTTCTCGTCGACAAATGTCTCGCTTTCTCTTTCGAGTCCCCAAGCTCCCCTCTCGGAACTATGCTCTGCAGGTACGAGAAGCTTTTCTCTTCTTCCTTCTATCCTTTTGGATCTATGTACATTTGGTGTTGTCATTTCTTTTCTATCTGTTCATTACTTGCTTTGCCTGGCAGATGCAGAGCTTTCGCCTGTGTTCATCTTCCATAACCCTTCACAGTACTCTTGACGGTACGGTTAAGAAATACTACCCACCGTGTTTCATCTTTGGCAGAGCTAAGTATTTTAAAGGTGGAGGTTTGATTGACTTTTACGCTCTTACGGAGGTTGTAGGCCCCCGAAAGAAGGTGCCTTGTGAGTGGCTAGAGGCAATGGGGACGATCGGAGCCTCCCGAGGTTGGGTCGCTACTCTAAAGAACCGTGTGGTGAGTCTCCACGACGATATGAACATAAGTGCATCAGTGTCAAACCCAAAACACATTTCACTGCCTCCTCTTGTAACTTTACCTCGTTGCCAGACCCAGACTGTAACCAGCGTGGCCATGTCCTCTTCTTCTCCGGAGGAAGACGACTGTGTTGTGGCTGTCAAGTTCTTGGGACCCCAACTCAGCCTGTGTAGGCCAGCTCAAGACACCAAGTGGACCAACATCAGAATCACAGACCCTAGTTTCTTCACTTCACAAGTCATGTTTTCCCAGAGAGACCAGGTGTTTTCTTTGCCCGCTTCTGGAGGCGGCCACATAGGATCATGGGATCTCCAAAAACACAGGGACAAACCCAATTTGCAAAAGTTACATTTTCGAAACCTTCCCAGTTTGAGAAAGACGGAAAGGGAGCTTTTGGATTCCACTTATAAAACCGAACACTTAGTTGAGTCATCAGACGGCGAGACTTTCCTTGTTATTTGGTACAGGTGCCATACCGACGATATGTCGGATTTTGAAACCAAAGGTTTCAGGGTGTTCAAGCTGGATGGGGAAGGAAACGCCTTTTACACTAAAGACCTTGGAGATCTTTGCATTTTCATATCAAAGTCGGAGCCTTTCTGTGTCCCTACTAGCTATTTACCTCACCTTGAAAGAAACTTCATCTATTACGTCGATGTCCACGAGTATGAGTCAATGATATTTGTCGAATTGGGAGGTTTCGGTCTGCAGGATAGCACATGGAACTATTCACAGCCCCACACGTTTAAGGTCCCTTACTATTTTCCACCTCAACCTATCTAACGAATTATCATGGTTCTTTTGTTTGTGCAAATTTGAATTTGAGACTTGTCTCTCATAGACGGTGCACTGAATTACCATGGGTTTTTGTTGGTTTGTTTGTGGCTACGAATTTGGATGTGAATCTCTCTCTCTCTCTCTCTCTCTCTCTCTCTCTCTTTCTCTCTCTGATACCTTCGTTTGTTTGACACTCGTTTAAGAGATATGGTTTTGCATTTTGGTCTGAAATCAGATTTAAAATTCCTTTTTTTGCTCGTGGACATGGTAATATTGAAACAAGACGAGGGGACGCAGGGACAACCTCTCTCCAAGCATGCATTGGTTACAAAATCAAAAACTTCTTAAGTAGTAGATTTGTCGTTTACGCCTAACTGAGCAGAGTGATAATTTCGTCACTCTTAACCTCTCGGCAGCGGCTAGTTGATAGTTACATAGAGGGACGACAAATCGTACGAATCAAACTCCGGTTAAGATATTGATTATATTGATCAAGATTACCGCGCTTTTTCTTACCCTATACCTGCTTAGAATCGTCGGTTACAACAGAAGGAAGCACAAGTCAGTGGTGGGAGTTTTTTAGGTCGCCTTTTGATAGCTCTCCTCCATGTTAGATTTGTTGGGATAAAATATAAGGAAATTTGAAAGATTCATTTTGAGCAAACAAGCAAGAAACATTGATAAAACTAGTAACCACAAACTCATACCATCCATCCATCATCCCTCTCTCTCACCCCTTGCATTTTTCTTTATTCTAGAAGCAACAACTTTTCACCTTCAAAGCGAAGGAGGCACATACTGTCTAGACAAACTAAACAGATCTTTACCCTCAAACGGCGAAGTCCATTCCCTCCCATTCCCAACTAAAGCAGCTTCCTGAACTCCCATTGCCATGCCCATTCCATTCCCGTTCCCCATCATTCTTGTCCTTCCATTCATGTTTGCTTCATATGGAGATGCCACCACGTACTGTTGTTGGTTTGGTCTCGGACAAGCTAGGCCCCTGTCTAAACTCCAATCAATGTTGTTGTAATCCAATTTCCCCATCGACCCATCCGTGTTCCAGTCTAGCCCAGATGAAGATGCTGATGAGGACGCCGATCCATACCCCGAGAAGCAGCTGGAGCCACAGCATGCGGTGAAGAACCCCCTGCCATTCTGTTTCCGTTGTTCGCTTGGCCTTGGTATTGTTGATACTGAAGTTGCTGGTACATCAGGTTTGGGTTCAGATCATTAGGAGGCAGAGTTCTTGAGGGCAAGTACCCGTTAGATTGAGCCGCCTCAGATCTATTTGCAGGGTACCAACCGCTGCCTCCTCCTGCTGCTGCTGCTGCTGCTACGGTAAAGGATGAATTCATGGTAGAGACAGGTAACACATTTGCGTTAGCGGATTGAGAACGTTGTTGCTGTTGCTGCTGCATCATAATAGCTGGTTCCCTCATTTCTTGCTGCTGTAGTCTCTTGAACTGATCACCTAACGCCGCCACATAATGCGTTTCTTCTGTTGGCCGGGGCAGTGGTGTCTGTTGATATGACATGCGTTTCTTCTCTTCCAGGGCAGCATTCTGTTGCATTTTCATCCACTCCAATTTCATATTAATTTTATCCACACTTTGGTTTCCGGATTCTCCACTAATGTAGCTGGATCCTCTATGGTAACCGAGATTCTTTCTATCTTCATCGCCTCCTGCAGGATACATACCTGAGTTAGGTTGCAACTGGGCTGCTGAGTTCTGACTTGTGTGCACAGATGGGATTTTGCTAGCAGAAGCATTATTATTACTAATATCCTCTGCTTTTATAGAAGCAGTAGATTGGTCTTGCTTCTGTCTTCTTAATGATTCTTCTGCTTTCTCAATGTTCCCTTCTGCTGTAACCACAGATTTTTCTACATCCTGCTTGGTGCACTTATATTTCGTTTCCAACTCCAAGATTCTAGCCAACTCTTGCGATATGTCAAGTTTTAAGTTCCCGGAAGTAGGATCCAGCTTCTTATCTGCTACTTTTGCCCCACCATCATCAAACAGCCAGTTGATGGATTCCTCTATTTTCCCTTCATTCAACATAAGAGCGTAAGTTGCACGCTCATGAGCAATCCCCATAGCGATGATCTGCTGAGCAAGGACTTCAAGTTTCCTCGACATGAGAAACTGGCAGCATCGCTCATGCAACTCCTGGGCTCGCTTTTCCTTTTGGCGTTGGTGCTTTCTTTCATTCTTCAGCCGCATCTTTTCCCTCTTGTCATTGTCAGCTCCGGGAATGATATCCTGTTTCGCGGCAGCTGTAGGAGGTGTTTTCTCTTTGTGATCTTCCGAATCACGTTATTGGAAAAAAGAGGTTTTGCATGATATAATGACAACATGCATTATAATGCATAACATGATAATTGATGATGAACGTGATATCACCGCACCGATTAGAGACGCAAAAACAGCAGCAGAGGCAACAGTTGAAATGGCTGTCAATGAGAATACCCGATTTCAACAATTTTTAGCTCGTAATCTACAGATAAAAAATAAAGAAATACATTTATCACTTCGGAAAGCATTGATTGATCATATATGAGAGTATTACGGAAACAATGTTAGTGAATAATTTAGTATTATATTTTGTTATTTCTGATTATGTTTGTGTGTTTTTTAATAATATTAATGATATTTAATTAATTAATATTATCTGTAATTTTTTTTAATGTATGTTTTATAGTTATTTATATTATTTAATGAGTTTAGCTAATTATGCTGAAAAGTAAGGACTATAATGCAAAGTAAAAAGTTTTTGAAATTTATTTTGAAGTGTCACTCTTGGAGAGAAACAGCTAAAATTTCTAATTTGAAGTTTCTGGATCTTCAAAAATGAAATCTCTCTTGGAGATGCCTTAGATGAAAAAGTGAAAAAAATATGCATATACTCGATTTGGGTTATTCCAATAATTTGATAGAGATCCCAGATCTTTCCAAGGCTACTAGACATTGCCACTTACGTCTTGCACAAGTTTGGTGGAGCTTCCTTCTTCCATTAGAAATATACTGTCTACATAAGCTGAAAAAGCTGATGATGATAAGGTGCGCAAAGCTACAAGTTGTTCCAACCAACATCAACTTAGCATCTCTTGATGATAAACTTTATGAGGGTTTCTTCCTAAGACCATTGCGTCTAATACGCCTCAGTTCTTGAGATCCACTCTTTAATCCTCTGCAAATCAGTTAAAAGAACAAATGAGTTCGTGTGAGGCTTTTGCAGAGTTCAGATTTGTTAAAAAAAAAGCTGAAAGAACACTCTAATGTTGTTGTTACCTTTGGCACAAGTAGACAAACGTGTAATAAAGAAGAAGCAAAATCAAAGTGATGCTGGAGATAATAATGTAGAGCATACTCCTCTTCTGCAAAACATATGATTTGATTAGATGCGAGAAACTATAAGAATGAGATTTGATGTAAAATCTCTAAAAGGCATCTTCTCCAAAGCATACGTTTGCTTTGATCTATAAGAGTGTTTATTTGAGTACCTTTGGTTTTTTCGATAAAGGCCTTGAACCTCCTGAACAAGTATGTGCATCGGAGAACTGGCGCAAGAAGAACTCTAGGACCCCAAAAAAGGTGAATCTTTAAGAATCAATACAAGTAAAAGCTGTTGATATAAAACACAGTATTGTATTTAGTAAGGCTATACCGTGAAGACGGTTGGCTGATGGACCATTGTTTACCGGAAAACAAGTATTAGCCAAACTCTGCAATGCAACAGAAAGATCAAGAAACAGAACAAAGAGGAATCTCTCAGTGAAACGTTCTTTGTAATTCTCAGAAGTTATACGGTTTCTATGTTTATTAGAGTCAATACTTGTCATGATCTTGATCGTATCATAAATCGAAAAATCTGATTTTGATTGCTTCAGTGTAGACTATGCTGATTGAAAAACCTTTTAAAAAGAAACTAATATCCAAAACTTCCTTACCTCACATAAGTGCCTGTTTCTTGCAGCAGCTGCAGGATTACACTTAGACTTAAGCCGAGACGTATCTACAACAAGATCACAATGCAACGCTCCACAAAGATCAGCCAGACATTTACCATGACTCTGGATTCAAAATTTAGAAACAAACAAAAATATGAAAGTCAAAAAGACTTATTCATAGCAAACGAATCGCTAATGACCTCAAACAATATGAATTGAAACAAAAACGCAATGCAATTTTGCAAAACAATATAGTATGTACCGCATTAAGCATATCGTGATGGCGTGAATCGAAATGCATATCGAGATATTTCTCTTCATAAAAAGCCTTTTTGCAGAATCCACAACGCCACTCGTTTATATCTGAATGCAATTTGTGCTCTTCTTGTTCTCTATAAATGTCATAGTCTCGATAAACTCTACAATTACTCGGTAACTGATACTGCTCCTTTTCAACATATGGCATGAGATACTACTTACACAAGCAACAAAGATCAAAACATAAACTTTGTGATACATATGAATATAAGCACGAACGCTCTCGGTTCATACCTCTTGAATGATCTTCCAAGCAACTCTGCTGCGTTCTCTTGAACAATGAACTTCATGAAAACCGTCTTCTCTGAATTATATCTATACAAGCATCAGAATTGGGCATTGTTTCATATGCAAAAGGAACACTAAGCATTCAAATGTCAAAGAAGATTTAACATTCACATGAGAAGAATTTAAAATTCAACAATACCTTCCATCTCCAGGATCTTTAAAACCCTGCAGAAACAAAAACCCTGAATTAACATTGAACAACCACAAAGCTTAACAATTTGAACCCAAAAAATAAAAAAGAAGAGTAAATCAGACAAATTTTTCTGACAATTAAGTATATGTAAAGACATTCTTTTCACGAATTGTTACAATCGAGAGAGCTGAAAATTACCTCGATATTGTGTTGAAATAGCGAATTGGGAACTGAAAATCCCCAAAACTGAGAAGAAATCAAGAAGCAAAGGAGAATCCGACGAGATGGGTATCTCGAATTCGATCCTCCCATTTTCATTCGCAACTCATAAAAGAAAGATCAAAGAAGGAGTTTTATCTTTGGAAGATTTTAGCTTTGTGTATCGATGATAATGGGGTTTAAAGTTGAAACCTTTCAATGGTTGTTTTTTTTTTTCAAAGACCACCAGTTTAGGAAATTATTTTGATTATTAAGGCCTTCTAGGTTTCAAAAATGGAGAAAGACCGGTTCAATCAGACCGTGATTTTCTTAGTTTGTTTGTGATTTTCTTGGTTTGTTTGTGATTTTTCTTGGTTTCTTAGAGCATGTTCAATGGAGAGACCCTTTTTGATCTCTAATTCTGTTTTTAATTATTAAAATTGAATAAGAAATGTAAATAAGAAACTGTCAATATTAATAGGTCCAATGGTAGAGACTAGAAAGGGTTTCTAAAAAAGAAAAAGCATTATAATAATTTATAGAAAATAAAGATTATTCTTGAAATTAAAACACAAATAATACATAAACATTATAACAAATATAACAGAAATTATTACAGATGTTTGAAGTTTTAATTTTGATCATCTCCAAATTTTTGCCAAATATGCTCTATCAAATCCGCATGCAGTTGGTAATGCTGATTAGGATTACGAACTTTTTTACGAGTATCCATCATATTTGCTATATTTGTTGGCATGTTTGTGGAATACGAGTAATCCACATTTGAACTTGTTGAAATTCTTCAGTAATAAAGTGTCTGTATCCATCTCGTTCGTCTTCGACTATCATATTGTGAAGTATAATACAAGCTCTCATAATCTTTCCTATTTTGGCTTTATCCCAAAACAAAGCTGGATTTTTGATAATGGCAAAGCGAGCTTGCAAGACTCCAAAAGCACGCTCAACATCTTTTCGGGCACTTTCTTGTTTTTCAGCAAATAAAGTCGATTTTAAGCCCTGTGGTAGGTTAATAGATTGGACAAAAGTTGCCCATTTTGGATATATACCATCTGTTAGATAGTATGCCAAATTATACTCCCTTCCGTTGACAAAAAAATTCACTTGCGGAGCTTTACCCGTTATAATATCATCAAATACGGGTGACCGATCGAGAACATTAATATCATTTAGGGTACCTGGAGGTCCAAAAAACGCATGCCAAATCCATAGATCATATGACGCCACCGCTTCTAAAACGATTGTGGGTTTTCCAGAACCACGTGTATACTGGCCTTTCCAAGCGGTTGGACAATTCTTCCACTCCCAATGCATACAATCAATGCTTCCTATCATCCCGGGAAATCCGCGTTGCTCTCCAAAATATAGAAGACGTTGAAGATCTTCTATTGTGGGTCTTCTTAGGTACTCATCGCCAAAGAGATTGATTATTCCGTCGACAAAATGTTCCAAGCATGATCGAGCAGTACTTCCACCTAGACGGAGGTATTCGTCAACAGAATCAAGCGCTGTCCCATAGGCTAAGAGACAGATGGCGGCTGTACACTTCTGAAGTGCAGATAGACCTAGTCTACCCCGAGCATCTCTCCTCTGTTTAAAGAAAGGGACTTCATTGGAGAGTCGTTGAACAATATGTAAGAACAAATGCTTGTTCATTCTAAAACGTCGACGAAACAAGTTCTCGGGATATATTGCATCTTCAGCGAAATAATCATTCCATAATCTTATGTGACCTTCTTCTCGGTTTCTTTCAATAAAAGCTCGTTTCTTCTTTGATGAGGTTGCCTCTTCTTGCTCTGCAACATGGGTGAGTAAATTCTCAAACGTTTGATCAAAAAACTGATCAAAATACTGATCAAAATACTGATCAAAAGCCTTATCAAAGTTGTTATGAGAAGAAGAAGCCATAAACTTGGAAGAGAATTAACAAGATTTTGAGAAAAATATAGATAATAGAAAGAACAAGTGAAAATGGAACAAGATTTAGAGAAAAAGATAGATAATAGAAAGAACAAGATTTAGAGAAAAAATATAGACTTGGAAGCGTTTGTATATGAAAGATGAGAAGGCATTGTTCCCATATATAAAGGTTTTATTACAACGTATGTACACACAAAAAAAGAATGGTTCTGTGGTTACAAAGTAAAGCATATATTCTCGACAATACACTCAAACAGAAAAGAACAAAAATGAAAGAAAAAGTTGTGGTAGCCGGTAACTTGTTCTTTTGCAACTTGTGACTCCTTTTGTAATGTTCTGCCATCTACAAAGCTGTACCACATGTCTTTTGCAACTTGCCCTGAAAACAACGAAGTTAACAAGCATGGACAATATATAAACAATTATTGATAACATGACACAACACATGACAAAGATTATAGAGAATATCATTGATAACATGAAAAAGCCTTTATAGAAAATAACAGAGAATATCAAACAAACATAGCATTGATAACATAACATGAAACAACGGTTACAAACAGACATTAGTTTTCCAATATCTCGCACATAATCTTCATCTTCACAACTTCTTCAACTTCCGAGAGAGGTTCCTTCTTTGCAATAAGAGTATCTAACAGCGCCATCTGCGTGACCCTATTCTTCATCTTCATTTCCTTATCCTTTATAGTCCACAAACCCTGGAACTCATTGACAGCCTTACCTTCCACAAACCCTGTCTTTTTAGCTTTGGCCTTTGAGGCTTTAACTCCAAGAGGTCGGGTTATGGTTTCAACAGCTTCGGTGGCATTGTTCCCATCTACATTCGGACTTGTAGCTGGTGCACCATCCTCAGTTCTTCTCCGTTTGCTGTTTCCATCGGTTTTAGTGGTTGAGATTTCACACCACTTCTGGTCATTCTTCAACTCTTTCCAAGCATGCTCCAAGGTGAATCTTTTCTTGTGGTCACTGTAGAAGATTGCATGAGCTTGTTTCAGAACATCAACCTCGTTTTGACCACTTCCTTTAGCTCGTGTAGCTGCCTCATAAGCTCCACAAAATTTACACACAAGATCGTTGATCTTGTGCCAACGCTGTTTGCATTGCCCTGCCCCTCGGGAATCACCTCCTGGACCCTTCTGACTAGCCGCATAATAGAGTGCAACCCTAGACCAAAACGCATCCAACTTCTGCTCATTGCCCACAACTGGGTCTTTACTCGTGTTCAGCCACGAGCTGATGAGCAGAATGTCATCTGCGGGAGTCCATGTTCTTCTCTCTCGAGCTTTTGCTGTCTGCTTGCTCGTGCCTTCATCGATGAAACCTTCTTGAGTGCCAGCCTGTGTTGAATATGCTGGGAGATTGAGTGAAGGAAAGGGATTAGGGTATGGTGAGCCACCATCTTCTTGACTGTGCAAGAGCTCAACGAAATTTGAGGTTTGGGAAAAGGGATACGTTGAAGACATATCCCCTAAGGTTAAGAGATGAGAAGAGATGTCTGTTTATGAGATGAGAAGAAAGGAATGAGAAGAGATGTCTGTTAAGTGATGAAAAGAAAGGGAAGATGCATCGGGTTTAATAGAGAAGGTGAAAGAGAAGGAGAAAGACAAGATGCATCTGTTAAACAGATGAAATTAAAGGAAAAGAAGAAGCATTGATCACGAGTTAAATTTTAAAAACAAACACTTAACTCAAGTTCACAACCATATTTGAGTTGACAGTTATCTAACTTCCCCTTTTACACACCAAAATTCCATTTATTACCTATAAACACTACCATAACCTAATGTTAAAATGCATTTATTGCAAACTAAAGGATAGAGTTTTGAACTGACCTTTATGCGAAGCTGATGCTGTGCTTTAGCTTGATGTCTCTTCTCTCTACTTGCTGTGTCTTCTCTCTTCCTTAAAGCCAATCATCATTATTCTCTCCTCGTGCAGAGCAAAGAAAACCAAATAGATTATCCCATTAATGGAAGCAACTAGTAAATATTCCATTAAAGAACCAACCTAACTCCAAAACTAACTCCAAAACTAATCATCAATACCTAAACCATTTCAACCATTTCAACCAAATACCAAACTGAAATGATCGTATAAACCATCCACCACAATGTGATCATATAAACCAAGTAATCATAATGTCATCGTATAAGCAAAGCTAAAACCATTTCAACCATATACAAGCTTATCATCTCTTCATACTTGTTAATCAAACTAAGTGATCATGATTGTTAATCATCCATCACACTTGTTCAAAAAACATAGTGATCTTTTACTCTTACTCAAATACCATTTCACCAACAACCATACATCATACTTGTTAATCAACATCAATTAAGCCATTTCCATTATAAATTATTTCCATAATAAACAACCAACACCGATGGAATCAATTCACAAAACCGATTGGTTCCTATATCATTCTGGTAGTCTCGAACCCTAACCCAAAGTCACTCATCAATCAACTTCAATTAAAATCACGCACAAGGGATTGAAGACAAACCTTTACTGAAGCTAAGACCCAGAACATCGACGAAGCCGGCTGTCGCTTGAATTCCTTCGGGATTGGATGCCGAGTGATTTCCTTCGGGCAAGAGATTGGAGAAGATCGATGAAGGCGACGAAGCCGGAGTCACCCAGAAGCAGCCGATTTCTGCGAGAGGAATCGGATAACGTCGACGCAGAAACCGGAGAATCGCCGGTAAAAGAGGAATCGTCGTTTTTTTCTTGCATGGAGGAGAAATGAATTTGGGATTTTTCCCCCGATAGAGAGAGAAAACATCTGTTAACCCACTCATTTGATGACACCTGTTAACTAAAAACGGTCTCTATTGTTTTCTAATTTGGATACGTCTTTAGCCCAAAACACAATTAAACCCATTTTGCTTTATTTTTAATTACTAAAGTTTTTAAAAACTGGGCTTAAAGACCCCATTGCACATGGTCTTAGTTTCTTGGTTTGTTTGTGATTTTTATTTTTTTTGTGATTTTTCTTACTTTCTTCTAATCCAATAAATGAGTTTAGAAAGAAAAAAAAAAGTTGCTTTCTAAGATGGTTGCAGTGTAATGTATTCTAACAACATTACTTGTAGTTTAAAGTTGTTTCTTTGGTGAACATAGAAGTACATAAACATTGAATCACTTGCTCCTACCTTATCTATTATCAAATATAATATAAGTAAGTGTATAATCAGTTTAGATGTAAAATAGTTTTGAAATCAATATAATAATAATCACTTTAGATGTTCAAGAGAAAATTGGCAAAAAAAAAACAAAATCAAATAAAATTATAAGAATGTAAAATGTTATTAGTCACATGACTCACATCCAAATGTTTAGTAAAAAGCTAAAATAGCTTAAAAACGCGTTAATATTTCTAAAACTTAAAAATGCTCAGAATTCAGTTTAGATTACAGAATTTTCTGATTTTATCTTCCCCCAAAAAATGACATTTTAGTATTTTATCACCAGAAATTTTTGGTTTCAATTCTCAACCACTTCATGTTAACAGCCATAGCAGAAATCATTTATTTTTGTTAAACTTCTTAGGTTCATAATTTCTGCACAGTTTCTCGACTTTCTATCAAATCCTCATATAAACTCAAAAAACTGTGTCTGTTTTGAAAAAAAAAAGAAAGAAAAAACCTGGTTTTGATTATATTGTTTCTAAATTTATTTCTGTTTCGTGGGACCCAACTTTTTCAGATCGTCTTCTAAAACATGTGTTTGGTCTGAAAAAAGATTGTTTTTTGAAAGTTTCGAATTCTATAGCCGTTTGGCTGACAGAAAGACAAAAAAGAATTTCAGAGAAACGATTCTTTAGAGCTGAGAAGACAAAATAAAAGATTGTTCATTCTTTGAAGAAACAAATTATCGGTTTGGCCATGGGTGAATCTGCTGTTCTGTTTCATTCATATTCGTTCGCTGCTCCTCTTTCTCGTAATGAATCTCCTGAGGTTAGTTTCGTTGTTTCTGTGATTAATTTAATGAGGAATTTTCCGGGAAAATCCCAATTGTTTCTGGGTGATCTGGAATTAAAGTTACAATTTTTAAGGCTCGATGATGGATTCTGAGTAGAAAAGTCCCTTCCTTTGATCTCGATTTTCCCGGGAATCAAACAGAAAGTTCGATGAGAATCCTGAATGGGTTTGTATTGAATCTTCCTGCTAATTCATTTGAAAGTTTCTGAATTTGGGTTTGCGTTTTAGCTAACAATTTGATTGGAAACAGTTAGATCTCTTAGAGAAGTCTCTCTGTTATAGTTTCCCGGATAAGAACACTTAGATTCATCAGAAAGTTTATAAATTTGGTTGGACATCATTTAAGATCCTTTAATTTGTTAAGTTGCAGGATAATCCGATCCATGCGCTTAGCGAATCAGTCTCCTTTGGTAGGTTCATGACAGAGAATCTTGAATGGGGAAAATGGTCAAGTTTCTCGCACAAGAAGTATGTCGATGAAGCCGAGAAATACTCTCAGCCTGGATCTGTTGCTCAGAAGAAAGCTTTCTTTGAGGCTCATTACAAGAAAATAGCTGAAGCCAAGAAAGCAAAAGCTTCAGATGAATCTTCTGACTCAAAACAACAACAACCAGAAAGTGTTGCTGTGTTGCTAAACACTTTGGAGACATTGACTAAGGATGAGGTTAAGGAAGAAGAGAGTGGTGAAACTGATTTAGTCTCGACTAGTGAAGAGTTGGTGTTGAGTATTGAGAAAGATGAAGAAGAAGAACCCGAAAGAACAAATGTTGTTGTGGTTATGGAACGAGAAGACGCTGTGGTGGATAACTCGTTAGCCAAACAAGTGATTGCAGATGATATACAAGCTGTTCTTGAAGTGCTTGATGAGAAAGAGAGTCACACAGAGGACAAAGAGTTGTTGAAGAAGAAGAGATGTTCTGTTGGAGAACAAGAAGAAGAGAGAAAATCAGAAACAAGGGACAAAGCAATGGAGCTTGTTTTCTCACAGAAGATAAGGTAAAAAACCAGCTTTGATTTGATTTGTCTGTCCTCTTATCTAATTTGTTTCTTAAAGCAATGGAGCTTGTTCAAAAATCTGATGTGTTAATGTTGCAGTGAAAAACCGACAACTCATAATAGTTCGGTGAAGAAGATCCAAAAACCAGTGCGTCCGAGATACAGTTTCTTGAAGTAAGGCTGATTTGTTTTCTTCTCTTGAGCCAACTTACATTTTGAGTTGATGTTCTTGTCCTTAACTGTATACTGTTTTTGTGGTGTAGCTTCTTGATGGGAAACAATAAAACTCAAGATCAGAACCCGAAGGTAAGATTTCGATTTCAACAAATCATGAGATGATGACATTTTCTCAGTTCTATTAGTAATGTAAAGACTGACACGAGCTGTGTTTTTCCTTCAGAGAAAAACGGATAAGAAACCAAACAAACCGTTTCTATGTCTTTGCTTCAATCCTGAGATGGTTGGGGAAACAGAAGCGCCAGCCAAAACACAGAGGAGGAATCTCTGAGAGTAAAGGTAGATTCTTTATCTGTTGGCTTAAAAGCTTTTAGAAAGATCTGTCCTCGGATTCTAGTATGGTAAAAAGAGAATCTTTGAGTGCACAGTACACACGAAAAAGGTAGAATAGCAGAAGAAAGTTGTTTCTTTCTTTTGTATTGTATCTTTAATGAACATCTTATTGTATGTATCTTCTTCATCTTCAATGAAATAATTCAGTTTCCAGATGTTTGTTTGTGTTGTTGGTCATTGAGATGTGATTGCAGGAACCTCCATTCTCTGATTTGGAATGGTATGAGTTTGATCAGTATTTTTAGGTATAAACTATAAACTGAACATAGTTGATTTAAGAATCAAATCACATGTCAATAATAATCATCCAAAAGTTATTCAAAGTGGTGAAATTTAGAAAGCAAATGGGAACCTCTGTTTCTGATTGGATTGTTGAGACAAAAAGGTTTCAACTTCATCATAATTACAATTATAAATCACATTTTTATATTTAAGAATCAAATCAACATTTACATAGATATATATAATTTCATTCATCCACAAAGTTATTAGAAACAATAAAACTTACCAAGCAAAAGGCAAGATAAGTATTGGGGAATAGATCAACGAGATCATTTTAAGTCATCATTTCTTCTACCAAAAGCCATCCTTCTTCATCAAATTCTCCCACATGATCCATCATCATCTCCACATCACAAAAACTCATACTTTCATCATCATCTTGAGACCCATCTTCTCCTTTTTCAACATCAACATCATCATCACTCTGTATATTCACAATCTCCTCTACAACACTTCCCAAGTCTTCTTCTTCTTCATCAGATCATAATCATGATCATAACCATAATCATCACACATAAGACCAAGGATTCCGGTAGCCGAGAACCCGGAAACCTTCAAGTCGGGACTGGACCCACCAGCAGCAGCAGCAACCTGCCAGGTCAGCATCTTGTAGGTGACGTCATTGGATTTCGACCTCACTTTCCAATAGCCTTTAGTTTTGACTTTTGATTTGGTGTATGGATGCAAATGGCATTCAGGGCACCTTGCTGACCAACATTTTCCGGTGAATCTTGAGTGGTTGGTCGGCTTGGATTGCACTTTGGAAAATTTTCCGGAGGTTGGGTTCGAAGTCTGAGGGATCCACCCCATTACTATGGGTCTTGTGGTCGGCAACGGTGGTAGAATCAGTCGGGTCCTTATCATGCCGTGTTGTTTGCCTTCTCGCTTCATCTCAGCGGTTAAATGGGTGAGACTTTTGCTACAGAAGAAAGGTAAAATATATGAAACTTTGAAATGATAAAAAGGTCTGTTTTGTTTGAATGGGTATATATAATTAGAAGAGGGATTGTAAAAGGAGGAATATGCTTGCGAGACAAGAAATATCTAATGAAAAATAGTTTTAAATTTCATTTACCTAATCAGACAAGAAAGTTTCTCACAAATAGTTTAGTTTCATCCATTTGGCCAATTTACTACCTTTTTATGTAAAAGGTCTCAATAATACAAATATGTGTATAAGAAATGCTATTCACTATTTTTTTTTTAATTGTAGTCCCCCATATTACTAAATTTAGTTTGATATGTTGTGTGAGCATGCATATACATGAAAATAATAAAAATGTTCAAATTAACCTTCAAATTCCAAATCCCTTTAGCTATGTGATTTAATCTCGATCGGGTCTTTCCAATGTGAGATTTATAATATACTAGATTTTACCAATTTTAATCAAAATTTCTTTTTTAATCAAAATTTTTAATATTATTTTTTAGATATAATTTTTCTAATAAGTGATAAAGATTTATTTTTTTGTTTAGATATAATTTAATTTTTAATTTTTTTCTAGTATTATTAAGACTACGATCATAAAAACATAATTGTAAGCCGATCATTTTATTAATCAAAAAATGATCGTTATTAAAAAAATATATTTTTAATTCACTCATTCTATTAATCCAAAAAAACTGTGGTTATAAAACTATAATTTTAATCTGCTCGTTCATATTACTATATAATATAAATATATATTAATTTTAAAATAAGTTTTTATCTTAATATTTTATGTTTTGATAATCTAACCCTCATAAGATTATAATTATTAAAAAACCTAAACCGTCCCATCAAGTTACCATATAATATTTATATTTATCAGTTTTTAATATGTAAAATTTTAGTCTGATTAAATATGATAAAACATATACAAGAAAGTATTTGTTAATTATATGTATTATTCTAAAAATATTAAATTATAAATGTTGGATTAAATCTGACTTATAGTTAAAGAAGTTTAAAATAATTTGAATTAATATCTATTTTTCAGATTAAATTTAATTACAAAATTAGTTTGAAATTTAAAATAAATATAACCTATATATAAAGGAAATCTTTAGTTATCTAAATTACTATCTAATTTTCGAAATTAAATTTATATATAAAAGAAAATATATATTCTTAATAATATTCTAATAAATTAGGATAACTTTAAAACTGTTTTCAAAAAAAATTTAGAAAGTTGTAGGAGTATTTGGAAGCATACACTAAAAGTGCTTTTAGTTAAAACTAGGTGTCTTGCCTGCGCCTTGCGCAGGCTCCCAAGAGGATTAAAATCATAAAATAAAACTTGATATTATGTGAATCAAGATTTAGAACAATTGAGACGTATATGATCAAAATAAAACAAACTCATAAAATTAAACACCTAAAATGCAATACTAAATAAGTGCATCAAACCCACAAACCAACTAAACTAAGACAAACATGAATTCTTCATTTCCACATAATGGTTATTTTTTTTCTTATTTTCCTTTCTTTTTATCTTTTGGTTGTTCTTCTTTATCGTTTTTTCCTTATTATTTTTCATTGTGTTCCAACCATCCAATATCGGTGTGGGTAGATCGTAAATATTAATACTCTAAAACCTACGTAGAAGATGTCACGATAATCATGTTTAAAATATACAAGAGAATAGAGGAAGCACCTACGCACTGTAAGACAACAAAAACCAACGACCAGCTATAACCAAAAGCTTAGACAATTACAATACATATAAACGATGAGAAGAATCATGTATAAAAAATTATTTTAGATCGTCTTTGCCTTTTCTTTTTCTTCCTCTTATTTATCTTTCGGTTTTCTTATTCCTCATTTTTTCTTTCTCTTCTTCGTCGTCTTCGATTTCTACTTCTTCTTTCTCTTTTGATTTATCTTCTTCCTCATTTTCTCCTTCTTTTTCAATTCTTATTCATATTGTTTATCTTTCAGTTGTTTCTTCTTTGTATTTTTCATATTCTTTTTCATTGTGTTTGATCAATTCTTTCCTCGACCTTTTTTCTGGGTTTTACTCGTATTCTTCTTTCTTGTCCCATTTCAATGCATTTTTCTTCTTTCTCTTTGAATTTTTCTTCTTCTTCTTTTCCATCGAATTCATTTTTTTCTCTTCTTCCTCTTATTCATCTTTCGGAGTTTCTTCTTCCTCGTTTTTTCCTTCTTCTTCTTCATCATTTTTGACTTCTACTTCTTCTTCTTTGACTTCTTCTTCTTCCTCTTACAAATCTTTCACTCTTCTTATCTCTCATCTTTTTCTTCATCTGTTCATCATCGTCTATGTCTCCCCGACTTTTTATTTTGATTTTTCTTCGTCTTTTCTTTGCCTATCACTCTTCATTGTATTCGTCTTTTCAGAATGATTATTATTCCGATTCATATTTTTTCTCGTCAACATATTCTGATTTGTTTACTTGCACAGACAATGGTTTCATCTCTATATCCCTCCCTCTCCCCCTCTTTTTGTATCTCTTTCTCTTCCCCTCTCTCTCCATCTCTCCATCTTTCTCTCTCCCCCTCTCTTTGTATCTCCCTCTCTCTCCCTCTCTCTCCATCTCTCTTTCTCTCTCTCTCCATCCCTCCTTCTCTATATTCATAACTTAGATCTCCTTAGGTTTTCCCTTCTTTTTCTTCTCTTTAAATTAATGATAAATTCTACAATATAACTTTAGCCTTATCTTCTCAGCTTCTCCTTCTCTCTTTTGTTATCTTCTTAACATTCAAGCCTTCGTCATCTTTTTTTGTCCACTTTTTCATATCAATCACACATTTCTTTGTCATCCAACTATCTTGTCTCGTTTCACCCATTGTTTTCTTTAACTTCCATGTTTTTCTCACGCATTTCAGTCAGGGGTTCAGACCCGTTTTATTAGTATTGTCGAATTCAATGTCTGAGTGTTCAATCTCTGTTAGGCTCATGTTTAAGTAAACCAGTGAACTTCAGAAACACATAACAATCTGATTAGAGTTTTTTTTTAACATAGAAATCTATTCGAGATTTCATCTCATTCTTCAACTCTTCTTCGAAGATACAATATAAGCTTTGTCTTGTAAGATTTGGGTTTTAGAGAAGCAATCAGAGGATGGACTGTTTTAGGATAAATTTAATTGAAAAACTAAATTTTTAAAGCAACGGAGTTATACAACATAATAATTACTTGTTACACATCAAAACTTAGAGAAATGTAACGTGTGATTATGTTCATTCTTCAATTTACAAGAATTTCAGTCATCTATGTTTCTTAGATTCTGGTGTCAGAGAATCATCAATTTATTCGGTACTCCGATGAAGCCTAAAACACTAAAAATGTAGTTCCAACAAGCTGAAAAAAATTACAAAGATGATGAACATTCTTCTTCCTTTGTATTGGTGATTCTCCTTCCTTCAGCTGGTTTTTATCTCTCATCAGGGGTAAAAGAAATTCGATGAGTTCATTAACAAACGATGAAACTAAGAAGTAGGTCCGGGATTAACCATAATATAATTTAACACCAATTGGATGGTGCCAATTGCAATTGGTTTGCACTCTGTTCTTAATAACATTATTGTATATCAACACAAGAACTGACATGCGTAAAGATTCTAGTCACACCAAATCTAGTCACACTTAAAAGGTTAGTGTGAAAGAACAACCAACTAAACAAACGATATAATTCATAAAAGTTTTGAAGTAAATAACTATTAGGCAATTGATTTACAATAGAAAAACTTCTAGAATCCGAAAAAACATATAAAGCACGAACTAAAATAAAAACATAAATTTATATTTATCTGACGATTTCATTGTAAGGTGAGAGATGAATTACAGAACCAGTGAAATATCAGTTATTCAAAAATTAGTAGATTAATTGTTATTAGGAATATGCATTAAATAATAGTAGAGATTTTTTTTAAAAGAGATGGATGATTTAAAAAAAAAATCTATGATCGTTTTTTTTTTTAAAAGAGGTAGACGTTTTTTTTTTAAAATGCTATGATCGTTTTAAGAAAAAAGAGGTAAACGAATTTTTACTAAAAAAATTGCTTAAACATAGTAGACATATGTAATATATAAGAAAAAATAAAAACCGAAATGGGTATATATAGCACGATGGATACACTAGGGTTTAGGTTAGTACTGATTTCTACATTGGTGACTCATAAATCGGTGGTTATATTGGTGGCCCATTAACAAAATCGTTGGCCCATAATTGAGAAAAAAACCATGTCATTGGTATTTACATGTAGGATTAATGATCAACTTATCAAAACTAATTAAAATGACACATCATTTTTTTTACTAATGATACATAGGACAATTACTGTGGTGATGACATATCAGATTTCTGACCTCACAAATAATAGTATAGATAGATAAGTAAGTTTTACGTACAAGTGCTCAAGACGCACAAATATGATATCTTTGACATAAATTATTTCGTTTTAGTTAAGTTTTTTTTTGTAGTTGCTCTTCGTTACCCATGCAACTAAGTTCGTGATTTAATCATGACTTCTTCTAATGTTACATGACCATATACAGTATGATGAATATGCCCGTTAGTAAAACACTAATAATTAACTGATTTTGTTGAGACCTCTCTAACAAAAAAAAAAAAACAATTACACTTTCTCCCATTTTGAATAACGTAAACTTTTTTTCTTATTATTTGCTCTACTCTTTCATAATGGGAGAGTTGGTGTTGGGTAATGAGAAAGATGAAGAATTCCAATTCCCAAAGAAAAAGTGTTGTGGTTTTGGAACAAGAAGACTCTCCTCTAGTGGTGGCAAATGATTTGGAGGTAGAAGCCCATGAAGCTCATGGAGATTCAGTTTCTTATGGTAAGACTGATTTGTTTTCTACTCTTGAATAAATGTGATCTTGTCCAAATGATATACTGTTCATATGATGCAGCAATTTGATAAGAAACACTAAAACTCAAGATCGAAACACTATAAGGAAATATTTTTTAGTTTGGAATGCAAATTCCATTTACATGAATATAATCACCCCAAGTTTGTAAAACTGATAGAATTTATAAAAGAATTATAGTCATTGAAATTGGAACCTCTGTTCTCATTTGGATGAGTTGATGAGTAAATATTTCAACTTTACATAAATTGTATTATAATTATAAATCAAAGTTTTGATTTAAGAATTAAATCACATTTACATAGATATATAATCATTCATCCCCAAAGTTATTAAAAATGATAAAATTTACAAAGCAAAAGGCAAGACAATTATTGGGGGGAATAATCAAAGATATCAATTAAGCAAACATTTCTTCAACTAAACACCATCCATCTTCATCAAATTCTTCCACATCATCAATCACCATCATCATCCCCACATCACAATAACTCATCACTCCATCATCATCATCATCATCATCATGAGAACCATCTTCTCCTTTTTCACCATCATCATCATCATCATCATCATCACTCTGTATATTCACAACTTCCTCTACAACACTTCCTTTGAATTCTTCTTCTTGTTCTTCTTCATCAGATTCATAATCATGATCATAACCATAATCATCAGACATAAGATCAAGGATTCCAGTAGCCGAGAACCCGGAAAGCTTTAAACCGGGTCTGGACCCACCAGAAGCAACCTGCCAAGTCAGCATCTCGTAGGTGACGTCATTCGATCTCACCTTGGAAGAGCCTTTAGTTTTGACTTTGGATTTGGTGATCGGATGCATATGGCACTCAAGGCACCTTGCTTGACCACATTTTCCGGTGAACTTGGAGTGATTGGTCGGTTTCGATGGCACTCTGGTGAATAATCCGGCGGTTGGACGACAAGTCAGAGGGTTGACCAACTTAGATTCCGGCCTTGGATTCAGCGACGGTGGCAGAATCCGGTAGGTTCTCACCATACCGTGTTGCTTGCCTTCTCGCTTCATCTCAGCCGTTAGATGATTGAACCTTTCCTACACAGAGGAGAAGAAGAAGAAGAAAGAAGAAATATGTGAATTGTGAAAAAGATAAAATGGTTGCTTGTGAAGGATATAATAAGAAGAGGTACTTTGGAATATGCTTGCGGGACACGGAATCGTCAAAAGTCAAGACGATATCCCAAAAAGTGTAGCTTGTGGACCAAATCAGTTGAGTTGTGTAGATAACTTCCACTATACACTACACGCAAATTCTAATCTTATAAAAGGTCCAATAAATTAAGGAAAACACAATATATCATTGTTCATTCCAAAAAATGCTTATTGCATCACAAAATTAAGCTAAAGGAAGTTTGAGTAAAAATGTCATTAAAAATTTGAGTAAATATATAAATAATAATATTCATTGTCATATTGAAAATAATATTCACAAATTTCCTTTAGCTTATCTATGTCCGAATATCATAAATTGGTGAATATCATTGGTCATATAGGTTTAAAGAAACATGGAAACAGATAAGCTAAAGGAAATTGAGTAAAAATATTAATAAAAGCAAGTTCTACTGTCGTATTACAAGAATGGGTCCGTCTAGGACAAGAACAAGAAACGAACTGATACTGATAAACGAAATCGATTATATATAAGAAAATCAATTGCGCCAATTCATCGACATAAACATTCATCTTCTTCTTACAAGACAATTCAAGATTGACCATTCTAGTTTACATTCTTTGTTTCTATATAATGCTACAATAAAATTGATATTTTAAAGCATGTGATAAACTACGAGTCTTAAGAGTTTATACATTTGTACAAAGGGAAGGCTGGAACTACTAAGGATTTTTGTTCTTTCTGACTTTGATTCTCCAGAGTATTCGGATCTTTAAACATGTTCATGAGAAGGATCAATGAGAGGTTCGTTCGATTCATGACCAGTTTCCAGAGATTTTGAGGTTTTCTTCTCTGGGTATAACACATAGTGTTGAAACATGAAGAGGATATCGAAAAATATTGATATCTGCAGAATGGTAAGAGAGATGGTTTCATTAGAGAGAGTGTGAGAACATTCAAGGGAAGAAGTTGAAAAGAAACACTCAGATATTTTCTTACGAGTGATAGGAGAGTCTTTCCAATGTTCCCATAGAAATTCACCCAAGAATCTGTAAGAAAACAAAGAAGAAGAAGTAGACAAGTTTTAGTTTCTGTGTGCCAAATGTTATTGTTATCCATCAGAGAGCAAACAAAATTAGCTAATGATGCGATGGAGAGATTGTTACTTTGGTCAATAGATTGTATAACCATCTGCAGATAATTAGCGAGCCCTCCAGCAAAATCGAGCAGAATATTCCCAATACTCCACCCGACTGTGCTCTTCCTAGTGAAGTTCATCTTTGCCTGTGAAAACACATGAATCTTGAGTTATACAGATTCAGTCAAATGTGGAAAATATTAAGAAGAAGAATTGTTTCTCACCTGTGGAATGTACTTGACGCATGTCATGAAAACCTGAATCGAGCTATATTTTACAATGAACCATAAGAAAACATTATTATCAAAGTGTCAGATTACCATTAGAAGAATTGAGTTAAGGCACTGCACAAAAGCTTACTTGAAGATAGTAATGAGCCAAAGCCAAGATTGTGTAGGTAATGCTATGAAGAAACAGATAGCTGCGAATGCCCACACGACAATCACAAGACCTGTAGCAAGTCTGGATACTTTTTGAGGTCCACGCTGAGAGAGTAAGTCACTAGAAACCATTAGGATAAAGAAGACAAATCAAGCATTCAAGAAAAAGGAAGAAAACTTCACTAACTCACTTCATAGATAAATATCTGGAAGAGTGTAAGAGCTGTCATTACAACCGCATGGATTGAGAATGCAACATCATTTGCAGCCACAGGTATCATCTGAAAATAGGAGCAAAAAATGATAACAAAACGACTCTGAAGAACAAATCATGTATAGCTTTCTAATGCAAATTTCTCCAATGCTAAACTTTCTGTCACAGAATTGTACATTGACCCTTCACAGCAAGAGAAACACAGTCTGATATTACCAGAAACACATCTTCATGTTGACCAGAAATATCAATGCCCATCAAGTTTTCATGCTAAAACTTGGAAAAGTTACAAACTTTCTATTTCCTCTGGACTTCAATAGCTAATGATTGAAGGAAGCAGAGACCTTTTAACCATGAAAAATAGTTATAAGCTAATCACTGGGCATATGACTTATGAGTCACCAAGAAACAACTCCAATTCACCAATCTCAGAACCAAAAACCAGACTACTAATCTAAGACCTGCTCAGTCGAAATCGATAAACATATTAGAAAGAGGAAAAGGAGACCTCTTTATCGCCATAAGTGTCAAAGTACTGCTTCTGAATAACGGGGCTAAAGTAGAGGCAGACGTTGTAGATCATATACGACGAGTGCTTCGTCAAATTCAGCAGCACGAAGTCGAAGTTCAATCCAACAACACTTTCCCCACACAAAAAAAAAAACGAAAAAACACAACGAAGTTAATTTCGATTCTCCACCACAAACCCAAAAAAATTTCGGGGAAAAAACAAAAGGAGGATCGGTACCATTTCCTGCGGAAATTCAAAATCAGCTGCGGGTAGAAGCTAATCGACCAAGAAGCAAACGCGATCCACCCGACGATTTCGTAAGAGATTTCGAGCGGAATCGAATTCCACGATGCCATTTTTATGGATTCGATCAATCTCGTTTGATTTTTCGAAATTAGTTGTTGTGTTGATGAATTCGAAGCTTTTTTTTGCGCAAATCGAAGCCTAAAAGCTAAAAAAACAGAGAATGCTAATGGGAAATGAAACACGGAAAGCAAAACAGTTAGAAAAATATGGGTCCCCATATAATGACGTGTCATGATCTGGTGACTCTATCGTTCAAGGTTCCACGATCTGAGCTTTATGGGTGTAACAGGTGATTAAATGAGGCTTATCTGAACGGCTGAGGGGTACATTCGTTTTATTTATTTATTTTTATGTAATTTAAAAATGTTTTTTATAATTTTTTTTTTGTTTTTGTTTTTGCCTTGTAGCAGGCATCCGATATATATGGTCCGAACGTGATATCGGAATGTATGATGATGTCAAATTAGCGGTCAAATTAGCTGAGAAAACGAGATTAATAAAAGTTGGATGGTTATTGGTTAACATGATATATGTAATGTAGTTTGAAAATTTGATTAATGTTATATATTTTAGAAGGAGATCTAAATAAACTGTCTGAACAAACTTGAATTTTTCATTAATTTTTCTTTAACAACTTTTATCGAAAAAACATACACCACACCAAGATATGTGCACGCATAATCATTATTTGAGGACAAATTAGAATTTTGCTTACAAAACTGATTTGCCATGTTAATATTTTTATATTCTTTTATGATTATATAAATTTCTGATTTTGTTTTAAATTATTTGTAGGTGAACTTATCATCGATAAAAAAAGTTTCTCCCCATAATGATAAATACCACAGAGTTTAGTATAACAATAACAAGAATCAAACATGCTTCGCAGCAACACAAAATTTTTTTAAGTGTGTACAAATGATGCACCATCCTTACCTTACATTTTTTCTAAACATAAGTGTTGCAAAATGCATTTTTTTAGGTTAAACACATTAATAAAAATCATAAAGTTTAGTAGTTTTTACATTGCTTCGAGTATGCGAATTCACAAGGTTACATTTCTTCGAGTATGCGTATTCACAAGGTGAACTGCCTGAATTCAAAAATTTTCAACACATTTTTCAGATTAGAGATGCTCAAGGGATATTGAGTTGTTTATTTAAAAATTTCAGTGATCAAGATGTAATAGCAGTAAAGACAGAAGTATTTGTTTATCTTTTAGACCATCTCTGTAATCTGTGATTTCTCTGGAGTAGTGTCAACTCATCTATTTCTGCGATTCAGAAAAGGAAATGTAAAATGGATGGGAGTTTTGTTTTGGTTTGTAGAGAATTTGGGTAGCATTGGTAACATCTTTCATGAATATATTGATAGAACGAACAAGAACGAATTACATAAGATTGCATTACTTGATATTCGTTTGGGAAATTTGATCGCAATGAAGACAGCATCCTCGTTCTAGATAAAGAAAATATAATATATGAGTTTGTTCTAATTGATCATGCGAAGTGTTTCTGTGATGAGGCACAATGTACAATATTTGCAACCCTTATTGGTTACGGTTGGATTGTGCCAATTGAGCATTTTCTTCGGAGTTGGTGTCAGAATTTTGATTTTGTAAAATTTTTTTTTTTTTTTAGGTTCAACACATTAATAAAAAATCATAAATTTAGTAATTTTACATGTTATCACACTTCCATTGCATTTTGTCTTATGTGTCATGGTAATAAAGACGTTAAGAAGTGATTTTTTTTCTTTGGGATCACCAGAAATTATCATTGCATTTTTTGTTTCCCTATTAGTGAAGTTCTCAAGTAACACTGAGAAGCATACAGTTGGTCTGTGTGGGTTTTGCCTTTCATCTTGGAAATGTTCACACTCAGCCCATATTACAAGTCTATAGTAAAAAAAAAAAAGGTTTAACTATTGTATAACCAATAGAAAAGCTTGAGCATATTGTGATAATCAATGAAAGTTTTTAAAATTCTTTGTGTACTTCCTATGAATTGGTGATGAAAGCTTATATTAAAGGACACAAGACATTTCTTTTCAATTTTCTTTATAATGCTAGTCATTATTGTTTTATTTAATATGAGATTAACATATGTTTATAAAAATTTAAAATATTTATAATTTCAAGCTGAAAAATTGAACAACTAATTCATGCAGTTAGATTCTAAATTAAAATCTCATTTGCTATTTGTAATTCATAATTCAGAAAATTCAAAATTGATTAATTATTATCCATAACTTTCGATTAACGATTCTTCTAAATGAGATGGTCCTAGAATGATCAAACACACGATAAAACTCAGACATCGTTTATGTTTAACGTCAACATTAACGATCATGTACTCTAAATAAGTTGGAGTTAATTCTGACTAAAGTGACGCCTAATTTGGGCAAATTAACGCAAGTATTCTTTTGCTTACTAAATAGATGTTTTTCGTTCCCCCGAAAATGCATTAGTTTAATATTTAAATGACGGCTCCTTTAATCACTTCGGTCAATACGACGCCGTTTTTGTGTTCGATCGACATCTCTGATCTAGAACCATACGCAAGAGTAGAGAGAGAGAGATCCATTTTCGTCGGGTCAAAACCACCGGAGAGGGAGGATTAATGGCGGCGATGTTAATAGGAAGAGCTTTTAAATCGGCTAGAAACTCTCATTCGCTCGTCCGTGCTCGATCCTTCTGCACAACATCTGCTGCTCTTCAACCCGATTCCGATGGTCAGCCCTCGGAATCTTCTTCTTCGTCGTCGTCTTCGTCCTCCTTCACGTTCGACAAGGAAAACGAGAAACCCATCTTCGTGAAAGCTCCAAACGCTCGACGGAACAACGATTCTGATTCGGTGACGATGCCGACCTCTTTCATGACGGGCTCGATCGTGGGGAAGAGATTCTACAAGAAAGTGACGACGAGAGAAGCAGAGGATGGAAATGGATGGACTGTGATGCTCGATTACAGAACCCTTAAAACCCCTTCGAAAAGACCTCTCAAGCTTCGTTCTTTGGCACTCGCCAAGGCCATTGCAGCTGAATGGGAGTATCAGGTTTGCTCCAATTCAAAATCTCAACATTTTCCTCTGCATTCATATCCAAGTTCGTCCTTTTTTAGCTCATAAATTCACTGCCTGAAGCTAACCAATAATGCGTTCGATGTTAGAACCCTTTGTAAAGTAGTTAAAACTCTTTGTTACTAAACGTAAAGCTGAGAATTTTCTGTTGTTTGTATCATAATGATTCAATCTACTGTTCTCTATAATTAGTTTGATGAAATTTAGCTAGAATCCTTGTAAATTAGCTAAAACTCTTTGTTACTCAACGTAAAGCTGAGAATTTGCTGTTGTTTATATCATAATTGATTCAATCTACTGTTCTTTAGAATCCCTAATGTCTGATCGGCTTCTGGGTTTTGCGATCTGAGGTCTAATGTGATCAAGAGTGTGTTAAGATCCTTGTAAAGGACTAGACTTGGCCTTCTCTACCCAGTTTTTCTTTTGTGAACCTTTGGCTCCTACTTAAGTTTGTGCGGTGACTGACTTGGTATCAATGTGATGATCATGTGTAGCTAACAGAAGGAATCAGACCATTCACGATGCCGCTCATGAGACTAGCATGTACTGCACTCGAGAGAGTTCCTCTTACACGTTCAAAGATCATCGAGCTTCTATTAAGAAAGTTACATAAAGACCTCGTCTTTTTCCGAGCGCCTGCAGATAATGATCTGACTTGTGACGTCCATGGTATTCACTTTCTCTTCAACTCCACGAGCTTGGGAGGTTTTTACACTTAACTGTGTTGTGTCTTTTGCAGAGGTTCAGGTAGAGAGGATTGATCCTCTACTTGAATGGGTAGAATCAGAGTTTGGGGTCAAACCGAAAGTGTATTCGAGCATCTTTGGTGGTAAACAAGACGACAAGCTAGTGAAAGCAGTAGAAGATCTTCTCAAGAAGACGAATGATGGTGAACTCGCAAGCATCGACGCACTTGAAGCATCCGCTCACTCGGTAGTAATCGCTCTTGGCATCTTCTGTGGGAAACTGCAGATCGATGATGCTATCAAATTGATTAGACTTGAAGAAGATTTACAGGTTCGATTTTTGTCACTCACTTTGCTTAACATTTTACACCTTTTGCCTTTGCTTATATCTAATCTAATCTTCGTTACACGTTCAGGTGGACAAATGGGGACTCGTGGAAGGTGGGCACGATATTGATATTGCTGATCTCAAAGTTCAGATCTCAGCCGCTACTGTGTTTCTTGCTCTATCCCGTGAGAACTTATCATCACTCTCTTTTGCTTCCAACAACAACTGATCAGCTTCTCTCTGAGCTTATCTGTTTGTAGAAATGATGATGTGTCTTTTTTTGATATTAGTATATGACATTGTTTAATCTTCTATTCACCAATAAAGCAAAACCCGAATACCGAGTGTTTATATAAAGGCAATGTGGAGGCAAAGGGTTTAACTTTACAGTTTGCTTGCTTGTTATAGGCAATGAATTTCAGAATTATAGACCACAAAACTCATATATTCTGCTCTTTAAAACAGCAATACAAGAATGAATACACAAAATTGGAGTATCTAGCAGATTTTATTAGCATCAAAAGTCCATTGGAGAATGCGTCATTGAGTTCTTCAACCAGATTTCTGAAGCTGCTTGATGTGTGTGATCTGTTTGCCTGGGTTCAATCCCTTTGGACAAGCACGAGCACAGTTCAAGATCGTATGACATCGATACAGCTTGAACTCATCGTTAATAGCCTCTAGTCTTTCTTTAGTGTACTCATCTCGGCTATCACTTATCCACCTGCATATGTAAAAAGGCATAAACAGTCATTTGTAAGCACTTGAAAGATCAAACCTTTAACCTACTGACGCAGATACAATCAACTTTTCAGGTTTATACAGATACATAAGCACAATGAGTCCTTAACACCTTCCCTCAGAGTCCTTATCAACTTCGTTGAAAAAAGAGATAAACTACACTACAGCTAAAGGAGCAAACACAACCTAAATGACCATACATACTGAATCTGCCAAATCTTATTGCTCAAACTGACACCTAAAGAAGCACAATGATTCCTTAGCAAGAGCCAACTATAACTAAAGAAGCTAAAGCAACCTAATTACCAACAAGCCATACAAAATCTTTCACAACGTAATCAATCTTTTTGCTTAAACCTATCAAATTCACCTTGATTAGGGAATTCACTACGAAAAGGCAAGATTTTTGTTCACCTGTTGGCATGGAGCAAAGCAGCTGGGCCAAGATAAGACTCAGGGTTCCACCAATAGCTAGGGCAAGAAGTACTACAACAAGCACAGAGAATGCATTCATACATTCCATCAAGCTTAGCTCTATCCTTCTTGCTCTGTAGAATCTCCTTCCCAGGAACAGACGCTGGATTCTTCCTCTTCAACCACGGCTCGATACTCTTGTACTGGTTATAAAAATTCGTCATATCCACCACCAAATCCTTAATCACGAACATATGCGGCAACGGCGTGATTGTCGTCTCCGACGATCCCGATTCGATCTTCGTTAAACAAGCGAGACCGTTGCATCCATCGATGTTCATAGCGCACGAGCCGCAGATACCTTCTCGGCACGAACGACGGAAAGTGAGCGACGGATCCATCTCGTTTTTGATCTTAATCAAAGCATCTAGAACCATCGGACCACAATCCTTGAGATCGATTTTGTAATCCTGAAGCTCAGGCTTCCCGGGATTATCTGGATTCCATCGATAGATCTGAAACGTTTTCAGGTTCGCTCCTCCTCCGCCGCCGGGAGAAGCTTTCGTTTGTGCTTCTGGTCCTGATCCTGTCAATCTCGCCGGAATCAATTGCGCCGCCGTGGATAACCTCGACGGCTTCGTTCCAACAACTCTTCTGATCAAACCAAACGCCATTTTTTTTCTCGGAGAGAGCAAATGAAAATTAATTCGAATTTATTTTCATTTTAATAGTCTTTATTTTTAGAAAAATGATTAATGTAAACTAATGAAGATTAGTTGATATTAAGTGAGGCTTAGCTTCGTCTACGTCGTCATCACGACCGTTGATCAAAGCTAAACTCAATCCTAACCGTTTATGAAAACATATTTAAGCCTAATCACAAACTAATGAATATGTTCTGAAACGCGCGTGCTGGCCTCGAGACAATGTGTAGACACAATTGGACACATGGCAATATCTAATTCGATAAATCCACCGAATTAACATAAAACGATCACTAAAGACGAGAAAAGCGTCCCGTTTCAATATAGTAGACAAACATTTCTTGCCGTTTGTAAGTTATTTCTCAGCCTGTTGTGTCTTGAGTGTGTCCAATTGAAACGGGACACGATATGAGCTCACCTGATAACAAAACGGTGTCTAAAACAACGAGAAAAGCGTCCCGTTTCGGTACGAAGACACACGATCCATGCCGTTTTTTTTTGTGCTTTCAATTTCAAGTTTCAACAAGAAAAAGTTAAAAACACGTTAATTGAAACGTAACCTATATTTAAACCTCAGAAAACGCTAATTGTATTCTGAGTTCTAATCTTTAAACGTAATCAAATCCTTTTTTTTGTTAATAAACAAAACGGAAAGAAATACAACAAAAATATTTCTTTCTGTGTTTGAAGATCATTGTATCATTGTCCTATTGCTGAGATCTCATCTCTTAAACAATCTTTGAATGGCATCGGTAAACATCTTTTCTCATTTCAAGCTTTATTTTTTTTTTCGTTTTTGTTCAAAGCAAATCTATGTTTGTAACATCTAATCGTCATGTTTTTCATTCAGAAACAAAACAGCATTTTGATGTTTTTTCCCATTAATCTTGTTGTAATATAATAGAAAATTGATTATATGTAGACTTATGTTTTCGAATTCAGAATAATCAACAACGACAACAACAAGATCGACCATTGCCAAAATTTGGAGAATGGGACGTGAACGATCCAGCATCAGCCGAAGGATTCACGGTCATATTCGCCAAAGCTCGAGACGACAAGAAGACAAACGCTAGTGGTCGTGCCACGTCGCAACGCCGTGATAATAACAATAACAAAAAGCAAGAAGCACCTACGGTATTCTATAACATTTCCTTTTTCCAATTGTAAATCATTTGGACTAAATTACACTAACAAAAACTATATGCCTTTATTCGTTATGTTTTGGAAAATATGAGGACTAAAGTGAAAAAGAGACTAAAAAGTTTTTCATTTTTGCTACTCTATTGCAGAAGAAATGGTTCTGCTGTTTCTGAGTAAGGAACATCATCATCAAGAAAAGCCGAGTCAGTAAACATTTGTAAAATCAAATTGTTAGATCATCGAAAAACAGCTTCATATATTCACTGCATCTGAATAAAAAATTAACATTACAGAGCTAAGAAGAACGACAGGCATTTCGATCTAATTATGTTCACACAAACACTATCTAGTACTTACACAATATCAACGTCTCTTAAGCCACTGTTTGGTGAATCTTGATCTGACCCATTGCTACTCGTCTTTTTCTTGAACGATTTCTGGCTGAAAATCCTAGAAACTGTTTTACCTGGACGAGGTACTGATCTCTCAAAGCGGTTATGTTTCTTGTCTAGATCATTTGATAGTTTCTTGACTAGTTCCACAAAGTGTCTTCTGAATGTTGGATATCTTGATACTGATTTGGTCAGTCCTTGAAGCCTATCACAACCAACACACAAAGATTATTATCTTATGATACATACAAAGACAAGATTGTGTGTGTTTTTTACCTGCGAGCAAAGGCGTCAAGTTCGGCTCTTTTGAGTTCAGTTAAAGGAGGAGATTCAGAGTCGCCAATGGAGCTTTTCAGTCTCTCTGAATCTCCAAACAGCAATACCAATTTTCCAAGATACTCTTCTTCTTCTTCAGATAGGTTCGCTGCTTCGATCTGGTCTTTAAGGATCAGAAACGGGTTCAGAAACCAATCAAAAAACGTATCTTTTGGGCGGTTTCTTGAAGTTATCTCCGTCACACCATCACCTATACACAGAAGCACAGAACAAAACAATAATTGAAACAACCACTCCTGAATCCAGAGATGCTCTAAAGATCAGAGGGTTTTGCTTGTTGAAACATTGCAACGTACCGAGTAACAAACCGGTGGAATTGGATTTGATAGAGCGTAAAAGCTCGTGAAGAAGAGAATAAGCAGGCAAGCCAATGCTGATCACTTGACTGCCTTTGCTAGACTTAGCATCTTCGATGTCCTTTGAATTTATAAGCCCTTTCGTTACCATAATCTCTCCGTACCGCCTACATTCCACAAAAAGAGCCTCCAGAAGCTGCAAAAACAATAACAGATTTTGGTTTTAATACAGAGATAATAACCAAAAACATCGAATCAAGATTCAAGATAATGATGTTAGAGATTGTGAGTACATCAAGTGGCTTCAGGTCAATCATTGGGCCTTTGTTTGATCCTCCTCTTGATGGTGTTGTCTTGAAAGAGTTCGGTCTTGAAAGACCACCAGAAAATGCTTCCTCTTCGTTTCGTCGATACTTTGGCCTGTAAAACCAAAAACAGAAACCCGGTTTTTAGAATCAGAAGAGAGAGAGAGAGAGAGGTAGAGATTGCTAAATAAGCCATTGGAGAGGAACCTGGGAAAGCAAGAACCTTCAGGCATGTCAAGAACATCGTTGCTATACTCATCATATATCGACACAGAAGCAACAACATAGCAGAGACCAAAGAAGAAGGACGATTCCTGTGTTGCGACAAGAATCAGACTAACTATCATCAAGATTTACACTCTTCTCAAATCAAACTAAAAAGGTTTTTGATGAATAACCTGATATGAGACTACACCGGAGTAAGCACCAAGGAAGACACTAGAGACCACAGATCCTAAAACCGCTCCCACAACAGCTAAAGGCCAGAGTAAGATCACAAGGCCTGCGATTGGGACACACATTGTCTCCAAGAAAGGACCTTCACGTCCAATAAGATCATGAAACAAACGGCGCCAGCCTTTAAACAACATGTATGGGCTTTTACATAAGGCTACGAGTGAAATCACTGGGAAATCAACAAGAACTCCAAGAACCGCAACAATCACAGCGCCTGGAATTTGAAGTAACCTGAGAAATGTATATACATAAGTGCAAGCTCTAAGAAAAGCACTGTTAAATGAATTTTGTGAGAGTTCTGCAGACCTTATTTCATAGTAATGACGATCTGCGCTAGATGTTCTGAGATCATCCATAAACGAAAAGTAGGAGTGAAAGCAAACGTCTTTAAAATCGTAGACAACAGTGAAACTCCCTTTAACAGTGCTCCAAGTTCCATCCTAAACAATTGAGTAATGTGATGAATAATAATAACTCACAAGAGAAGAAATGAGAAAAAAACATATAGATGCGAGATATGTAGAAAACTTACATAAAAGCAATGGAAAAGCGGATTAGATTTCCCTTCACCAACAGCATCGAATGTGGCAAATATTGGAGAAAGAAAGCCATATAAAGCTCCTCCGAGGATACTTCCTATGATACTAACCACAAGCCAGAGAATGATGCCGAGAGGAAGACATAAGCACAGAAAAAGCTTCAAGATTGGTCCTAATTGCTTAGCACTGAAATCAAATATACACAATTTCAGTATCGAAAGAAGTAACAAAGATATTATTGTAATGTAAACAGATTGTTTCAGCAAGAGAAAAGTACCTAGATATCGAATATAGTGTCCAGATCCCGTGTACCGGTAAAAGGCCTAAGATGATTGCAGAGTTTCCAACAGCCACAATAAGGCATATAAGCGGGCAGAAAACGATACCTAAGCAAACAATGAAAGAGTAAAGAAACGTGTAAAACGATCAATTTGGAGCAAGACTTGTAAAAGAACAAGTCATGGATTTGGTGCTTCTTTCAGTTTGAAAATTGGCACTTTATGGTATTGAAGAACACTGAATTGGTCGCCAGATGAAAGTAAAAAATGCTAATTTCATACATTTTCACTAACTTTGGAAGCACTTAATAAATGATTGCGTGAAACAATCAGTCACTCTTAGATAAACCCTTATCCACTGAAGTAGTGAGCAATATTTGTAAACATAACAAGGTCACGAATCAAGTGTTTTCTTCAATTAAAAAAAAGGGGCACTTTCTGAATATTGAAGAACCCTATTGAAAGAACCCTAAACTGGGTTCAACTGCTAATTTCATGTGATTTCACTAACTGTAGAAGCCCTTGACGAATGACTGAATGAAACAATAAATTATTCTTTAGTTAGATGAACCCTAAGGGCCCCTAAACAAAGCAGCCATTCTTCAGGTCAACATCACATAAGACTAGAAAACTTAATAAAAACCCCTTATAAAATTCTGTCCTGAGAAAAATTCAAAATTGGACTTAAAAGAAAGGACTTTAGCAATCAAGCAACCATGTCGTCTCGAGTAGCGAATGACAAAGAAAATAAAACAGAATATGTTGTTCCCCAACAGTAAACCCATCATCGAATTCGAGTTTGAAAACGAAAATCAGATTAATTAAATTGAGATTTACTGAAAGTTTTCACCTTTAATGACACCCAGAAGAAGTAATCCAGTGAAATAGGGAATGAAGAGTATGAATTGCCACAGAGAAGACAAGATTCCCATTGGAGGCTCCATTGAATTATCTTCTACTTTTCTCTTCGAAATTACCCAGAAAAAATTCAACCCATTTATGAATCGAATTCGAACCCTAGAATCACGAATCAAAATTAACCCCCACCCAAAAGAAAGTAAAGCAGAGAGATTGAGAAAGAGATATAAAGAGAGAGATACAACTGTCACTGACACGACAAGCAGAAGAACAAGGTATCTTCTTTCCGAGGATTACCAAATATCTGTTTAAAAATTACAAATGAACAACAAGACACGAAGAATCGACAGAGAGAGAGTGTGAAGAAAACGTCTCGCGTGGGATTTTACGGTTAAAGAAACCGTCATTTCTACGAACCAAAAACCCTACCAAAAATACAGATATTTAAGCAAATAAAATAAAGTAAATGAAACCTATTCAAAGCAAGAACACGAAGAAAGCAAAAGAAGTTTTTTTTTTTATAAATCCTTCTGTTTCTTGTTGATGGGTTTTTGTGCTTTTTCACGCGTTCGGTAACATAGAGATATCTCCTCGTATTGAGAGAGGCACGAGAAAAAGGAAAAGAGAAAAACGACATGCATAAATGACACTTAAGCGACAGTCCAAAAGAATCACATTATCATTATTTTATCATCTATTAAATTAATCGGCGATATAAAACAAGGAAAAGGTAGGAGAAGTGCTCCTTGATAGCTGTTGTTACTTCTATGGACTATGGTTATGAAACTTACAACTTGTGGACAAATTTATTTTAAAGAAACCAAACCGAATAGAAAATCTGATATTCATCTTGGTTCGACTGGTCAAGCAAAATCTAATATTTAGTTATTATTTTTCCGTCCAAAATCTAATATTTAATTAGGTAGAGAATTTTAGTTGAATAAAAAAAAGGGAATATGTGGAGCTTTAGATATTTTTTATGATATAAATGGATACGTTTCATGATTTAAATCTTAATATTAATATCTCGAGAGAGGAGTAGTTGTCCCACTTTTGCTGCCATTTTCATCATCTGTGTAGAGTTCGAGTCTACTTTTTTCCCAATATGGGATATTAAGCTATTGGACCGGCCCATTGTTGTCCATGTGTCAAAAAGAAAAGAAAAAATATCTACAAAAGAAAAACTATTTTTGAGCAAAAATAATTAATTTGTGCGTCTGTTTTAGTGGGGGTAGATCATCTGTAAATGACAAATTGATGTGTGGAAGTCTCCGAATAATAGGATGGTACTTTTCAAAAAAAATTGCATGATGTTCAAGTTAGTCTTTTAACATAGGAACTTGGTCGAAATATAGAAAAACAAGGGAAATAACATATGGTAAAATTGCACCAAATCTAGAAGAAAAGATATGCGATACATTATGTCTGTCATAGCTATTTTTCCGATGAAATAAGAGAAAGAGAAAAGGGTGTTTTTTGTGAAGACGAAAGAACAAGAGCTTTTGTTCAAAGAGAGAATTCATAATCAAATGATTAAGCTGCGAAAAAAATGTGTCTCATACTAGAATAGCTGGTTAAGCTGCAAGTTGAACCAATTGGATAAATCTGAGCCACTTAAATATCTTCGGCTATTTTACTTGTCGTTTGTGTTAGTTGATCGAAGAACAAATATTTTGTATATGTGTTTTTTATTTCAATGATGAGTTAGCTTAGCAATCTTATCTTTGCCTCATTGGCACTTCTGAGAATAATGAAATTAGATCGAGATAGATATATTTGCGAGTCGATTCGACCTTCTAAGTAAGAAAGTCTTCTCCTTGAAAGAAGAAAATTTAAGAATTTGTAAGGGTAAGAATGAGTTACCTTTTGTCAAAAAAGAAGAAGAATGAGTTACCTTTTCTCAAAGAAAGAAAGAAAGAAAGAAAGAACCCAAGCTCAATTTCAATTTCCTTTCTAAATTCAGTTCAAGAAACACTAAGTAGTAAAAACGTTTATTTTGGGTTGAATATAAAATTTTGTTCATTAGAAAAAAGGAATGAGTTACGTATCTCGGATTTGGTCAAGAGACCACACTACCTACTGACATGGCCAACCGGCCAAGTATAGTACTCTCCATTGATTTGTTTGGACTTTTTATGATTTAGGTCTGAAGTCTAAACACTTTTACAGTTGGCCCAAAAAATTACTAAAATTCACCTAAACTAAATTATGTGGTGTTAGTTGATTCGTTTAGGCCTTAAATGCGACTTTTAACTCAAACAAAGAAAATTTATCATCACAATAAATAGAAAAAAAATCTTAAATTAGATGTGTTTTAAGATACACTAGCACAACGTAATTGAAGGTAAAAGAGGAATAAGAATTGTTGGTTATCACAATTGACGCTCCACGAACTAGAGTTGAGTTCCTAAAATTAGGGTTGGGAGACGGGAAAGGTTGTTAGTACTTTTTTTTGAATGAATTATATATAATATTTTTATTAGCGCAAATCATTTCAAATATATTATAATATTCTTTTCAATTTCATCATGAACATTAAATATAATACTCAAAATTTTGTACAAATTTTGAACTTTTTACATTTTCATATGGATAAATTAATATAATATTATTAACACCTATTTTATTATAATACCAAAGATTCATAGTCTGTTTCCTATACTCATTCCTGTATTTAAGGATTTGCATTAATGTAAGGTTAAATGTATTATTTTGTATATACACTTATACCTCTATGAACTAATAATACTAAATAAATTGATAAGCATTATTAATTGTTAAACTTTATTGGTCTTGAGTTGGAATACCAGTTCTCATAATTTATAATAAAGTAATAAATCATTATTAAAAAAACTAATGTTTTAGATGCTATAATTGTTATTTTTTTAACATAAACAATTCTAAATATATTATAGTATTGTTTTCAATTTCATCAAATTTCTCCAAAAGTTTGTCGTTGGTAGAGATAAAAGCAGCAGACCATTCTTGGAATTTGTTGTGGGCTAAAGAAATAATGATGTCTTGTGCGGTGACTTCCACCTTCCGAGAGCTGATGTCCACCGCTTGTGCGGCCACGAGGGTAAAGAGAAAGAGGAAGACACCTAAATTCTTCATTTCGGTTTCCTGTCCAAGAAAGTGAGAGAAATGTTTTTGGAATGTAGATTTGAATATAAGTGCAGTTACACAAGAGTGGATCTCTAGAGAATAATGAGAATAATGGGTAGATATCAAGAGTAGAGGAAAGTGTGAAGATCTCAAAGTACACACAAACAAATTATGACTTTGAAAAGCATCTAATTAATGTTTTCCCATGAACTTTTCGTATTCTCATTTTTGATTCTTTTTTTTCTTTGATTTATGTTTATTATGTCTAATTAGGAGAATATTCATATGTAACGTGCGAGTTTTTTCTTCAATTATATCAAATTGATATATTTTTGTATTTTCCTAAAAAAATATAATCACCATTTGTTCTGTGTTAGCATATAATTATAAATCATCCATTTAAAATATAATATCATAAAAATCAAGAGTTTATACCAAAAAAACCATCAATTTTTATTAATTATAACATAAATTCTTGTTTAATATTTACATAAATATTATTTAAGAATCAATTAATAATAAAACTTTTTATTTTCTTTTAGTGGTTGAAAATTTAATATTAAAATTTTTTATGTTTTATTTTTTTAAATTGTAACTTTAAATTAAAAATTGACACATATCATCTCCATATTAACTCTAAATGTTGATGTGGCACTCATATGGAGAGAGTTAGTCATCTTTTATATATAAGATTATATTGAATCAATTCAAAGTTCAACCAGAATCAAGTAATAATATTTCTAATTTGAAAAATTAATATGAATATATGATTACTCTATTAAACCGGTGATTTTAATTAATACCAATGGTGGACTAAAAATTAGGTAAATAACAAAGTTGATTTAAAAATTATGTCGTTATGAGAGAGAAAAAATTATCCCACAATATAATAACAAAGTTTTATAAAGAGTGTCTTTTCATATTTTTGTTAAAGTAATGGATGATAGTTACCATGCGAATTAAAATATAATAACACAAAATTAATAAATTATAAATTAATAAATGAATTGATGATGTGTCAAAATTTTAGAGTTTGAGAAAATGATGTGGCATCATGAGAAGAGAGAACATTTTACTTTATATATATAGATGTTCAGTATGTTAAGATACTATGTTAGCAGGTTTTAAGTTTTAGATAATAAATTAATATGCTAACAATAATATCTAACACTTATAATATGCTAACAATAAATATTCTAATAATAATATCTTACTTCATTATCTTTATAAACCTTTGACCACCGTCACTACTACCACTATCATTGGCAGATTCACACATTTTTCACCACTATCTCTATGATCAAACACCAACATCATTCTTACTATTTCTCAACTATTTTTAAAAAAATTGGAGGAAGTGAAAAAAAAATCTATAAAACAAAGAGACAAAAAGATAAAAAAATAAACAAACAAAAACTTGGCGAAAAATTTACATAACTGAAGTGAAAAAGAAGATAAACAAAGTAAAAAAAAAGGAATAGATAGTAAAATCCATTACTTAATCACTTTAAAAAGTTGTCAGAGACTGTCTCTAAATAATTTTGCTATTATCTATTGGTATCTATTGCTATTACTCTTATTAAATCTGAAAATTTGTCTTTAAAAATGTACATATATAAAGAGTTTGACATTGATAAAGAGAAAATATTATAAGACAATTAACAAACTCATATTTATTTATTTTTTATTGCCAAATAAATTTTGAAGCTCGAGTTAAGGTGTGATGCGTCTAACTAATAAAATTCAGACTCTTTCTCCTCTTACTTAAATTTTACATAGCAGCATAGTTTTGCTCAACTTTACAGGATAAAATCAAATTATTATCTTGAATCGATACAAATAAATTTTAAAAGAAAATGATAGAAATTATTTCTAAATGCTATTTATATATTATATATATAATATTATATATATAATATATATATATATATATATAAATGATTGCTAGGTACACGTATAAATTTTTCAAAGCAAATGGCACTAAACCAGAGAGTAAGGGAGTGAGTCTGTCCAAAGAAGTTAATATATATATAGGGAAAGACGTATTTCTCCCTCACAAGTATCAAATAGTAACTGATCCATCCGAACTTTTAACCTCGTCCTAAATCTTTTTATTTTAAAGTTTAAAAACGTATTTCTCCCTAAATCTCCTTATTTTAAAGTTTAAAAACATATTTTTCTCGGATTATAAAGTTAAATACATATTTACCCAAATTATTGGTTTAAATGGTTAAAAAAATTAACCAGATATGAAACCACTTAACCGATATCAAATCGAATTAAAAACCGCCCAAGTTAAAATCTGATCCCCAAACCTGACCCGAGTCAACATCAAATCCGACCCATTATTATTCTTCTTCTTCACCCGTAATCATCAATCG